TGTACTCCACACAGTATCGCCGCATTCGAGGAGATTTGATCTTGGTATACCAAATAATGCAGAACCCAGACCACCCATGTCGTCCACTCCTTTCCTTGTCGCCCAACACTCACCTGTGGGGCACTCATTCAAATTAGCGCTCCAAAAATGCCGGCGTCATTCATTCGCCCTCAGAGCGTGCATTACTTGGAATTCTCTATCACCACACGTTGTCTCTGCGCCCACAATTGATTCATTCAAGCACAATCTGGATGAAGCTTTGAAAAGTCTTAAATTTCAACATCCGTAGAAGCGCACGAAAAAAGGACAAATTGTGACATTCATCTGCTGTGTTTGTACTGTGAACCGATTCATCTGTGCCAAATCCTATGGGACTAGAAAAGCAACCGCTTGTAAGTATTTCCCATAATAAAACTGTGACTTTGACTCCAACGGTGTGAAGATCTAGAGCCCCGATACGACTTGAAGTCACGTACACTCTACAAACTGAGTAACATAAACACTTAAACAGATTCAGGCAAAAGAGTATCAACTTACTTGGGTGTTGTGGCGATCCATTCGGTGTGAACGCGCTATCACTTCCGACCGATGAGCCTTTGGAGGCTTTTCGTTCGAAAATTTTCTGAAATCAAAAAGGGAGGAAAAGATTCATTATTCAAAGCTGATTTCTCATAGGGTTCCAACCCATGGTAGTTTGCATTCCCAGGTGACTGCCTTATTCACGAATGTGTCTGAGAAGATAACAAGTAGTCGAAACGCGTGGGCTTACCACCGGTCAGAGATTAAGTCAATCAACAAACAATAGCTCACAGACAAAACTTTTCGCCGATTGGAAACTGGGTAACAGGAACTCAACGAGCAGTACAGATTACTCTCATGGCATTTCGAAGTACGCAGAGGGAAGTCGGCAATGAAAGATCGTAAATAAACTGATTCTAATCAGTTGTATGGCGAACATCTGCCGCCCCGGATGGGGATACAGACTAGTCACTAAAGAGCTGAGGTAACTATTTCTATTCACCATACGGCAGACCCGCGAAATGTTTGGTTTTTCTACAGTCGGGACGATAAATCTGGTCAGAGGAGAATTAAAAGATTGCATCACATACTCCTTCAGTACACTACACACACATTGGTGATTCGGTGACAGTGCACGTAATTCTGCATATTGTATATCACCTACGTTTAGCAAGGCGCCAAATAGGCAATTGTGCATGCGCGAAATAACTTGCAGTTTGCTAATTTATCCACTGATTTGCACTTTGCATAAAATATTCTTCCATAGTTGCACACATGTTACCTTTCGCACGCAATTGTTATTCTTGACAGAACTGCGAACATCTCAACTGGTACTTTAGATACTCTTGGTATGTTTAAAGCAATTGCGGTCAAACTGGACAAATGGTGAATGCGGTGGAGTACTTTCATTGTGCAAACATTTGTACAATCAGTTAAAGGAAGGTTGCAGCCAATCACAAGCGTGTTAGCGATAAAATTCGATTTGTTGGTGACTGATACTGCTTGACACTGTTGCAATTAAAGCTCGGTGTTGAACACGAACCCAGTTGTCACCCTATAAATATCCACAACCTAGGATTTCGGTAACGTACTATCTGGGATAAATCACCTTGTATTTTGCCAGGGTGGCCATGGCCAAGTTGCGCTCCTCTTCGACCGCCTGCAACCGGTATTTAAGGGATCTGAATATAGTTGAAGATAAAAAAACAGAGATGAAAGGCGTAACAGAAGTTCTTCAACAGTCTCGCCATTCTAAAGTATTTTATGCTCGGCAAATTATAAAGGTGTTGCTAAATCAGTGGAAACAAAACAATTAAAAAAACTGTTCCTTTGCCATCATCATCATCATCATCATCATAACAGAGCGAAATAGAGTAGGGTGAAATTCGCTGATCGCTGTTACAACGCCGTACAACGGCTATATGAATGCGAAAAGGTGGATACCCAGTGGACTTGCTTTGAGCGAGAGGAAACCAAGGGGGATATCAGGGTCACCAAATATTACAGAATAAAACGGTATATACCAATCTTTTAAACAATCGAACCTATACCTTTTGCAACTCAATGTGTCCGAATATCATTACAAGAGGTTCGGATATCATTTTAAGATGTTTGGGTATTGTTTCTAGATTCCTGGGCATCATTTCAAGGAGCCTCCGAATTATTTGAAATTATCCTTTCAAGGTATCTCAGCATCATCAAATTGCCTGAGCATCAATTCAAGCTGTCTCGTTGACCCCATCGGCGCAATATCTGCATGACCACCATGCAGCCCAGATTTCTCTACTTCTCATCGAAGCGCGGGGGAGAGGGGGACGATTGTGATACGCGCCTTGGTCACACACGACCCAACTACCATCACATACATATTGCTTGTTTATCTTGATAGTACATTGACGCTTCTGAGGGTATGTTCGTCAACCTTCCCCGAAAAGTCATATCGGACCCTGCTTCGCTGGTGTCAATGAATCATGCGCGATCAACGCTTGAGCCATTGTTTACGTTTACCGCATGATGCTGCAACAGAATTCAGAAGCTACACCTCAAGCGGCTGCAATGGAACACCAGTCGACCATGCTCGATCGACATACACACCAGTGTTGACCAGATTCACATCCAGTTTATTTGACACTTGCAGGTTATATCCCATCTTTGTGACAGCATCACAGAAGCGCCTTCAAGAACTGAACAATGACCATTTTGGCCATATATCCGGAATGAAATGAGTTGTTTCCATCAAACCAAGCCCATCATAGAACGCTTTTCTTTTTTATAAAGACTATTGTACCGTGATTTGCTTGGCACACAGTCTGGCCTCAGACAAGTGTGAAATAAATAATAAATAAATCTCCATCAAACCAACTGCAAGTGAAATAATGTAACGAGGGCTGTCGAAATATACCATAAATTGTATAACAGTTAAGGAATCTCATATGATATTGAGTTGAGACCAGCTTCGAACAATCTTATTGCTGAATACAGCCGGTCGAAGGTGAACAAAAATTTCTCGATTCAGTTTGACGATGGGAACGCCATTACACATACAACAAGATCGTTCGAAGCCAGTTCGCATTAGCCACTAGTGAATGTCATACCTTAGCCTTAATTCATCCGGCTGACTTTATGTTTTGGGAGTGTTTTAGTACGAATATATGATTATAACGATAAAGGTTATCAAATTCAGAGTCCATACTCAGAAAAGTGCATTTTCGAAATTATTCACATTATTGAGCTTATAACTCCATCTATATGTTCGTCGAAACGCTCTTCCTTGAAACTAAAGCACGGCAAAGCAAAAGGTTTCATAAATCATAAAGATATGAAACGGTTGATGCTCGTTCGTGCAATGAACACACGGATAAAGTTTCCGGTTTTGTGTAATGCAGTGGTATCAAAAGGAACACACTGTTACCGGAAATATTCATACTGGACAAAATTTCACGAAACTGAAAGAGGTCCTGTCGTGTGCGGTTGCCTGGGTGTTTGTTTATTGGTCGAAGAACTTCTGCGACCCTCTTGCTGTGCAGTGATAACGTACTTCTGAGTTTCAATGAAGAGCATTTCGAAGGACAGATAGATAGCGTTGCAGTGAGCTGCCCGGTCGGTCTTATGTTGACTGACATTTCTCTGAATATGATCGAATCGTGATCGGATGTGGCGATAAAAAAGAACGGTCTTGTATAAAAGGTAAGTTCACAACAAGTTCATTATCGGTATTCAGTCAAAGAACATCGATATATCACTAGATGCATTCAAAGCAGCACATCCGTGCTTAAAATACCCATACAAAGTGCAGGAGTAGGGAGACTCAGTATTGTGCTCATCCGAAGATGTAATGACTCTAATCAACGATATAACTTCGGCAAGAAGACTTGATCTAAACGGTTCATCGAGGTTTTATTGAACAAATGTACTTGACAAAATTCCCACGAACTCACTTCTTTTCCATGATTAATGTGTCGATGTCCACAATTTTTCGCTCATCTCCGTGCAAAACATAGTTCAGCTCATTATTTAATCGATCACACTTGTTCCGGTAAATATCGCGCTCGGAAAGCAATTCCTGTTTTTCATCCACGCACCGAGATAGCTCACGCTCCAACTCGTTCACCTGATACGCAAAAGAACAACAGAGAATAGCAGATAAGTGGAGAGACGCACAGCATACATTCTATGGTAGTTATAGTACACATCTATTTCATAAAACCTAATACGGTGATTACATCTATGTATCATGGTCGCGTTATTTTGAGTTAGACACCTACTAAGGGGTATGTATGATGATACTAACAAAAGCGAACTATTGTTTTTAGTTATCATCATCTGGGCTTCACCTTCAGGCAAAATAATTATTCCGTTAACATACAACAGGAAACCATCAGACGATAATCTCGTTCTCATCAATGGTTATCGGTAGTGCATAACAATAATAATGATGAGAGTGTAAATGGAGTTAGGTGCCTCTCAAGTATACGGTCGACTGAATAGCCTGGTTGTATATGAAGGTAAAGGTTGAACAATGCTCAGTCTGCCATAGCTTATTCTAAACCACTACTCATAATTAACTGGAAAGTTGAACTAGTTGTTCAATTCTCCTCCAGTCTAGTTTTCTTTTTTCTACATACACTCTGAGTTTATTTAGTTGATCGTATCAAATTCTCCACTACTGCCTTAAGCATGTAAGAAAAGTGCACAACCTAAATACGATTACGTTAGGCGTTTGTATTTGTGAACATCTCAGTACACTTGATATACGCCTCTTGAATGATCCTTCTAGGGTTATCTTTTAGGCTTTGAAACTCACTTAAACGCTATTTATTCCTCATATGTATTACAACGCATGTGCACTGAAACAGTGAGATCACGCGTAAGATATAGAAAGGCTCAACACACTCATATTTTCACAGATACGGGGTTGTTTAGAAATGCAAGTAACAAGCTGAGGGCGAACCGATAAACTTAAACCCGTTATTCTGAATAGACTGAGTACACTGATCCCTTCCCGGAAGAGATCATTTAGGTAAGGGAACTTTAAATNGAGCACTGGGCAGCTGTTTCGTCCTGTTTGGGACTCGTTAGCATTGCGTACTTTTTTTGTCCCTGTCAGGACTGGAACCGCGTACATGCACCATCTAAATAGGTAAGGGGAACTCCTTAAAACGATTACGTGAAACAAAGTTAAGAATGATTATCCAGACGGAGACTATTTTTGATCAATAACTGCAACATTTTCCACTAGAGAGCAAATCAATTAGCGCGTAGTCATCACGAGCACTTATTACAGTATAAAGCTGTATAATTTGAACAAGTTAGCTAAATATGTGCACCGTTATTGATGACCGAATTGACAAATCATTGCTGTTGGCTGATCATGCGATTTCGGAGGAGTCGTTGCCATTGTGAAACATGCTTTAGCTTAGAAAGAATACCTCACAATCACATTTTAGTCAAATACCTAAATGAGCAATGCGAGAAAAATTTCGACTATGATCATTATGTATATTATGCATTTTCACACACATCTGAATCCAGACTGTATGCCAAACAAATCATAATACAATAATCTTATTGAAAAGAAAGACGTTCCATCATCATCATCATCATCATTCCTGATCACATGTACGCATGCACGAACTTGTCACAGAAAAGGCGGCGACAACGCCTTACACCACATTCGCAACATTATTTGCTGGTGGCTTAGACCCACATCGATTTATGCGGAAACGACTTGTAAAAGGAATCCCTGATCAGGAATCATCCTTGTCATAACTGCACGGAATTGTCCGGATAGTTGATTCTCAAACGATTGTCTTCCGACGACGTTTCCCGTCCAGAAAGTTATTTTATAGGTAGTAAAATAGAACACAGGTCGAAGTGAGTACGAATACAATTGATGTAAAAAGAAAAGTTATTTATAGGGAAGAGGGAAGACATGGGAACGCATGTAACAAACGATTGATTGATTGACTTTTTGTCAACTGCCTTGATTGGTTGACGGTTCCGAACAATCATCTGCATTCGGCTATCCTTGTTTTGGTTGGTTGTCCCAAGGAGCGTGCGGACTCCCTGACAATCTGCACAAGAAACTTGAATTATTGTTACAAGCGAGTTTTCTGATCAAATCGGGCCAAGTTTTATTATGAATTTACGGAAATTGATAGTTTATCGATATAACGCGAATGTGAGACTTTCAATTTGAAATTTAAATTCTTAGAGAGGTTTTAAGCTGTTTGTCATATATCCGGTCCCGTAAAACCCCTTAGGACGAAGGAAACGGTGCCTTAAATTATCATTGTACTAACAGCTTATTTGTTAAACAAATTACCCCAAAGTATGACAAGAAAAATACGCTGTAGTTGAATCACCACACACTTTTGAAAGACAGCTGATCGAATCTCTAACCTAGCTATTGTCGATGAAAAGATACACCCAAGAGAGATAAAATCGGGTTCGTGAACAAATGCGTCTCACGTATCCGATCCATCCTGATTGTTGTGTGAACGCAACTGGCACGACCTCATTAATGGTCTACGCTAGCAGATGCATAGACAGATAGATAGCTAGGGGAGAACTTAAAACTGCGTCTTCAAAAAGACAATGCAACAC